AGATTTAGCAAAATGTATGAACTGTCAAAATTAAATAATATATTGACAAATTCTTTTAATGAATTAGAAGTATACATTTACATGACTATCACCTATTCTTCTCGTATCTCGTACTTCGTTTATGGTGCATCGAGATGTTTGGTATATTGTTGTATACTATAAAAATATTGTACGTTTGGTATTTAACTTCAACGACTTAATCAAAGGACAATATTACCATAAAATACTATAAAACTATGTCTTGCTACACCTGAGAAATATGTCTTGGGCGCCACATCGCGTGAATAATAGTATTGTAATCATAATGTCTCTGCCTTTTAAAATAAAAATTCGCTAAACCAAAATGATTATTTTAACTTTTAATACACCCATACAATTTAGTATAATACAAATTGTGCCTATTCATATTTGATCAGCATTAAAGGAAATATTCTCCTTTATGACAATCAATGTACTTCCAATTACTTTATTTGGTATATTAAATTGTGTTTGTAGATTTTACTTCGACCACTAAAAAATAGAAAATTAAGTTGCGTTTTATGTTTGATATCAAACTATGTGATTTAAAATTTTCTTTCGTGCCTATAATAGTACTTATATTTACTTGAAGAAATTATGTCACAGATTAAACCTTATAAATTATATCGATTAATATTGAAATAATAATACTAGCACGTAATGCCAGTTGTTTTTTTGACTTGGCTTATATGTAGTTACAGATTTCCGAAGTCATTAAAAATAAATTGAAGCTACATATGGATAGCGGGCTGTAAGAGTATATTATGTTGTATGAATGGTTGGGTTATAAAAATTACATTCGTTCACTCATCACATAATCGACTAGTATTATATTATTATAAAAATTAATAAGCTGTTTCGGAGTTGGAAAAGAAAACCGCAACAGAATCGACAAGTCGTTAACGAAGACAAATATAAATATAAAAAAATATAATAATGTTTAAAAAAATATATAGGCATGCGCCTGACACACACGAGATATATACAAGGTACCAACCGCACTGCGATTTATTACTTTTATAACTTGCAAGGTTTGTTTATGCGTTAAAAGAGTAAAGTAGTAGCATTTCTGATTCTGGGTCATAAAGACGTTTTCAACTTTTCAAATCGAGAACTTTTCAGCAGTAATTTATTTTCAACGTGAATAATTTATTTACGGTAAGCACCGCTTTTATAGCCGTCCCGACCCGCGGCGTGTTAGCGTTTCGCCAAGATGAAGATTTTCACATTATTTCGTATACCGTTGTTCACCCCTTCCCCTTTTCAGAGTAAACTCTAAATACTTACAAGGCGCGTTTTTAACAGCGTCGGACTAACCGACAAACAAACTATGAAACATTCGGACTCGCGTCCATAATATAATTATGTTTATTTTATGAATATATAAGATCGTCGCTATATCATGTACCTACTCTGTAGTTTTACTATAATGCAGTAGTGCAGTATGATCCTATATTACAAGGTTACGTCTTAATCTTTATGATTACTTTTTTTATTTTTTAAATAAAAAGAGTTCATATTGTTTAAAGGAACATAATATGCACTACCTACCTTTTCGCAAAAAACTGTTTAAAATGTTTTCAATTTTCTATAGTATAGTGGTTTTTGATGTTTTTTATTTTATGATCGGAATCAGAATTTTTTCGAATATTTTTGATGTACATATAAATATTATTACATGTAAATATATCGAATAAGAATTTCTACAACTCGGTACTAAATATAATTAATTTTTTTAAGTAAAAAACATTTAAAATTAAGTTATTAAAGTGTTTTAAAATTAAGATCTGTGGAATAGCCTAGAACGGCAAGGGTTGTACCCCGAAAATGTTTTCGTACACTACACGTCTGTCTTTTTTGAAAGCACTACTTATAATAATTAATTTGGAAAATATATCACTATCGTAGCCTGAAGTTAGTTAAATAGGTCTCCCCCTCCCTCGCACACATTCACTGTTTAATCAAGATACGAACAATCGGTCTGTTATTTGACTTCCGAGATGGAGGATCTCCACACATATATTTAACCAAAGCAAATATACACGGTGCACGTCTGTTGCAGTTTATAGTGCGGTGCGCATATTGTTCGATGTCCTGTTCTACAAAGATCCAATATATTATTCATGTAAATGTACAAGAGTAGAATACACATACACAGATATCCGTGCAGTTATGTGGGGGAGTGCTCGGTGGTCGGGAAAAATATACATAAATGTGCATATTATATATTAAACTTCTTGCAGACCGACACGCCGTGGGTAGAGAACCGATAGGGGTGAACAAAATTGGCTAGCTCACTGCGATCCACGCCAACGTCGCCACTGCGTTGGATTACAATTTCGTCGAATTCGTATCGGTCGAATAGCGACCATACTAATAATACTAATAAAACTCGACTGGCGTGCTGGTAACGAAAAAAAAACAAATTAAAAGGTTTGGCAGCTTGATTGGCAGCCCCACTGAAAACGAATATTAAATATTATATGGTCGCGTAAACTACGTTTATCGGAAAGGCCGAGGCGCTTCTAAAGTTGCGGTACTACGTAAACTTTCGGTAATACTCGAAGTACGGTAGAAAATAAACCGGGAGCGGTGACAAACAAATAAAACATCTTATCTTATAGGCACGGAAAACGTCAAAGCGTTTATATGAATCTAACTATAACAATATACTCCGTGTAGTTCATAATCTAATATATAATACCCAGTAGAAGGTACTCCGTAAGAGTTTGAATCGTAAATCAATATTTATCGTCAGATTTTTCCTTTTACGCACACTGCTGGCCGCCTCCGCCTCGGAGCTTACATACACGCCAAAAGCGAAATGGACCCAAAACCCGCTCGCTCACACACACACACACACACACACACACACACACACACACACACACACACACACACACACACACATATTTGAATAGGATTTAACGGCCTAATGGTGGAAAATAAGCTCCTTATCACGTTATGTTTGCACAAATCCTATTGTAAGCATCATATCTCGGCCGGACTTATATAGTAATGTTATATGTAATATACTTTGCAGTATTTTAGTGATCTAATTCCAGAGTATCTTACTTCCGATGCTACACAACGTTCTCGAACGGAACGAAAGCCCAACGGCAAATTGCAGGCTAAGTACGAAGATGTATTTCAACGACAAGATGTATACAATCGTAAATAACTATCAAAACCAATTGCGTCGTCAGTTGGTACCAACCCACTTTTCGACACCGAACTACTATTTCAAAAAAACTCAAATACTCAAAGTTGTGTTTATCGAAGAAACTCACTTTGACTTTACGATAAATATTTACAAAACGATTAAGGCAAAGTAAACACATATATCGTGTCCTGGACCTGTAAAAATCTTGATTATTTATTTTTTTGCACAACTAACCATAAAGGGTACATTCGAGTTGCTGCCAAATAACAAGAAATCACCATATTAATATTATGAGTTGTAATCGGGAATATACGAAGGAGTTCCATAAAAAACAAATGAAGGAAAAAATATTATTAATTGAGAATACTATTGAAAAGTTAAACGTTCAAAATGTAATTAAAAACACAAAAACTTTTGATTAAAAGTACCTATAAACATAAAATATTGATATGAAATAATTAATAAACAATGAACGATAAACGGACAACATAATATTTAATGTATTAGTTTTTATAGTTTAAAATATTTTTTTTTTTATTAAAGTTAAGGCCTCTATAACAGAACCATTGGCTAGTATTGCATACTCAAAAAATAAGTTTTATAGTTTTTTTTTTGTTTGTGTGTATATTATATCGATTTAATATTCTTTATTACCTTATATAAGTTTAATGTTATATTAATTATACTTAATTAATTAAAAAATAATCGATACTTCACATTTACACCAAGAAAGATATTTTTTATATTTTTAAAGAATGTAAATATTTTTTCAACGCATTTACCAATACATAATGTATTAAAACTGAAATCAAAATGTTTAGGAAATACTAATTTTTAGTTAAACAGTAACTAGGGAGCCATTCGTATGTATTTAGTTACTTGCTGGTTGCTACTTCAGACGCAACTCATGTGCACTGATATGTATATGTCAATGATTAATGAACAACTTCTGTGCAGACGTCTCGAGGTGTCCATATTCTTTTTCTTTTCTCAGACCCACCACTCTACATCTCAATGAAAATATTGATAAAACTTAGAATTTTTCGCCACGCACCTGACGACATATGAAATGAAACGTGACTTCGAAATGACTTACAAAAGTATCAGGATGGCTGTAGGAGACATCTGTATGAAATCTCGTGCGCACTACTGAGGAGATAAAATATATGTAGATACCCAAATATAACTTACCGATACGGCTTTTATTCTGTCGACAAGTCTAGACGCTGTTTGAGTGAATTTCCGGTGATATTGTATTTATTTTGACCAAGAAGCGCAGCACACTTGTTACATGTTATGACAAAAATACGAATTCAAACAATGGTCAGATTTGTTGGCGGCATGGCACTTAGAATGTATTATTAACTAATGACATTCAGTTTAAAAGTATTCAGGGTGTCAATAAGCAAGTCTGGGCATAAACGAGTTAAAAAGTTAAAGTTAAGTTAATTTTAACTTTTTTGAATTTAATTTTCATTAACTTAATTTTTAACACAACTGATTTTTATTGATATAAACTTAATAAATAACGAGTTGCTTTTAATCAAATCCAATTTCGTTCGTTTACAAATAATTAAATAATAAATATAATAAAATTGTTTTTGATAATATATAGTGCATAAACATTTACTTTTTATTGTTTTAAACCATATAACTAGCTTCTTATTTATTAAAAATAAAAAATAAAAAAATAACTTAACTTAATAAGTTAATTATAAGTTTTAAAATAACTTTTAACATAACTGAGATTAAAAAAAATTAGGATAACTATTAACTTGAAACTTTTCAAAATGTTTTCTATCAACTTAACTCAACTCAGTTAAAAATTATCATTTACTTGACCAGGCTTACTGATAAGCAGTTATCGTATGTGTAGGTACTGTCTATATTTTACTACTTTGTTGGTAACTCGTGTGCGCTGATATACATAATTGTATGTTAATGAACAACTTTTCCGCAGATATCTCAACATGTCAATAATGTGCTTTTTCATTCCTCACCACCAACTCCTTCTGTTTCAACGATTCGAAATATTTATTGAACTAAACGAAATGACAAACAAACGTTTCAGGATGGCTAAAGGAGCCATTTGTACACGAGATCTCGTGCACACTCCTGTGGATATAAACTAATATGTATATTATAATTACCGAACTATAACTCACCGATACGGTTTTTATTATTTCGACAAGTCTAGACGCTGTTCGAGGTGGATCTCCGGTAGTATTGTATTTGTTTTGGCGTCGACATGGTGTGCGAGAAGACGAATTCGAACAGTGGTCAGATTTGTCAACGGCGCGGTACACACGGCAATCATGTGACCGTCGTGACTTATCGCCGTCATTAATATTAGTCTCAGTGCCGCCTGCAAGCCGGAGTAAAAAGTTTGGATTTTTTTTCTTCTCGGAAATCTCCAGCAATAAATCTAAGCCCGAATCCATAACGCAAGAGACGTATTATTATTATTATCATCAACATCGTCCTGAGAAAAAAAAGAAATTATACATATAATAATAGTATTATATGGCATACAGCATGACAAATGTTTTTCTTTAATGTTTGAGTATATACATTTTCTATTTATATGAAAAAATATACCGGCACGGCACGGCTCTAACAATATTAATTATATCCGACCGTAAAATATATAATGGTAATGACAAATATGTTATACATATATTGATTAAAACAAATACTCCAATCATTATATCGTTCGGTCCTGTAATATATTTATGCATAAATTAGTATTCACTATATCTGTAAATTGGCTGTAATTATATTACTGTTCCGACACACTCGACAACGCTGCGGATGATCAGCAAGAAAAAAAAACGTATTCGCAGATGATCAAAACTTCTTTTCTCGTGTCAACATAATTATACATCGCGGTCTCGACTTTCGACGAGTGAGTTAAAAAATACAAAACACGTTCACTGCAGCGGTCTCGAATACATTTGACGGTTTGGTATCATAACATAATACACTACAATATAACGTAATGTACGTATATATTATTATAATATGTATATTATGTTATATATTATTATGCAGTTGTTTTACCCCGGAGAGAAAAACTTTTAGGTCACGCAGGATTATATTATTATTTATAGCGCGCGTTTTGCGTTGTTTCCGTAGCAGAAATTCGGAAATGAAAACTCGGATTTGGTAAAACATAAGTCAGGATTTGAAACTTGTTGGCAACACGTCGACGTCCATTAAAATAAAAACGATGCCATAGCAGGTCACCGTGATTTATTCGGGCCGGGAGGGTATAATACTCACACATACAATATGTATATACAGATATAATATGTATTATGTTACATACGTGTCTGCTACACCGCGACACACGGACGTAGGTACCCTCCCCCCCACCATCTGACTTTTGGTCATCCGACCATGGACTATTGTACAACAATAACACTATAGGTACTGATCGAGTAACATAATATATTATGGGTAATTCGTGTACGCTCTTTATACGTACCTACCTGCTATAGGTACCTACCCGAAAGAGAATATAATTAAAATTAACTGCAGCAGTACGGGAAAACGTAATTTTTTTCCAACACAAATTTGTAAAACCATTTTTTTAATGCACGTATATATATTTGCACAGGTAATACCTTTTTTTTTCGTTTTTTAATTTGATAATAACAAACCTTCAACTCGAGTCGGGTAATAGTCCCTATAGTTACAGCTAATTCCAATTTGTATACGTAGGTACTCTATTTATTTTATTTTAATCAAAGTGGGCACTTTATTATTAGACTAGAATAAAAATACGCATAATGTTTTTAAAATACCTATAGTGGTTTAAAGGTGTCGAGCATAAAATATTATAATATTTTACATATAATTTAATTATAAAATACATTGGTTCGATTATATTATAACTTGCAGATTCTGTGCACTTCATTGCCCGTTAAAAACAACAACTCTATATGAGACATCTATAATGCGAACAGTATAATATTATCATATTTTCATTAATTATCCTATTGAATCTACTGTGAAATGTGCACCAAGAAATTATAAATGAACTACTTTATATCATAATAGATTATCTGTTTTAAACGAAAAACATTATTCCGTGACCAAGGAGATAAGGATTACAACAGATAAAAATATTTGGGGTGGGCCACCCTTCATACCTAGGGGCTTAAAAAATAGCCTATGACCTATTTTCAGACCTACCAAATATACACAAACGATTTCATGAAAATCGGTCAAGCCGTTTCGGAGGAATTCAATACTAAACACTGTGACCAAATAATTTTATAATTATAAGAAATATATATACTGTAAGCACAATCTAAGTTTACAATTTCTAAAAGAGAAAAATAAATGTGCAAAAATAATTAATATGTTAGGTACTATTCCCCGATAAAAAATACAAATTAGGGTAAAAAGCTATGTAAAACAATACACAATTTCGACATCTTAAAATCAAAATGTTGAAAAATCCTTTTTTAGTACAACGTGAAATTATAATATTAATCCATCCTCAAAATATCAAGTTCTATAACTCTAATAGGTTCGATTCTGCGTTGATTATGAATCAGGACAACACTTTCCTTCATATTATATAGAACTATAGAAGAGAAGATTAAATGAATAAAATACAATTTTTAAATAATATAATGTATGTATATAATACGATATGGATTAAAATGGATTTTTTCCTTCCATCATATTATTATGAACTTTTGATTACCAGCAATAAAATGAATATTGTTAAATATTTGAATTATTTTTTTCCATCAATCAGCTGAAGAATAACCTTCATACTATTGTCAAAACGTATACTTCATTGGTTGCATGCGGTTTTTGATTTTAATTTTCACATGATCGGTAATAATTCCGACATAAATGGATCTGTATAATGCATTTTTTGTTATTATTATTTTTATTTTGTTCAATTTTCATAAATATAATAATACTGATTTCCGTATTATACAATATTTATGAAAACCCATCATAATCATACGCTCTGTTTGAATATCACTATTATAATATTTCTACGACTATACGTATAATATTATAAACCGCAATGGAACAAAAGAAAAAAAATGAGAAAGATAGAATACTAAATTTACCGACATTTATAATGCAGTAGGTGTATATTTTATTTATTTTTTTATGCGTAAATTACCTACTATACACACGGTTAGCTAAATCGATTTCTAGCGAACGACACAACATAATATTATTGTTTTATTATTATTACTATGCTGAGTTGTATATTTTAATTATTTAAAAATACAAATTCACAAAATGAACTTCAAATGTGAAAATATTCAAATCGATGTTGTCATAAACGTAAAACTTTCAATTTTTTGAGTTTGATGTGCATCGGCGTCGATAGCACCCCATCCCTACTAATTCCTCGTCTCACTTCCAATCACAAAACGAATCTTTTGAAACGACGTTATGACTTTTTTTTCACTTACGGATTTTCACTTCTGGCTGCTCCACCATAAAACGACCATACTCACTAGTTTGGTTTTATGTGCCACCCCCATAGACTTTATTAGACAGCGGCCCCGTGTTAATTGCGCCATAGTGGATTTCGGACATAACTGTATCGTTTAAGTTTCCCAAATAAAATGAAATCAAAACGAAGAAACCCGTCGCTATAACTTTGTATATTATAGCAATCTACTGCAGAAATAACAGATATAATATATTGTATTCAGTTACTTTTAATATTCTTTAATTGAGTTTCCCATCCGATTGGTCTATTTATCCGCTTTTCACGAATTACTCCAATCGTCTCAGAACTACAATTAAATACTATATTTATTGCTGTGTGTGATACGGAGAAAGTATTGAAAAAAACTATTACAAGTCCATAATTAAACATTATCGTATTAGCTATAGATGTATATCAATATTTAATTATTGTTTTGTGTAACCCATTAAATGGGTGACTTTTAAATTATACGACCATAAGTTAATTCCGTAGCTTCTTTAACAGATAATTTTGAAAGTCGGAAACTTCTAAGTGCACATCTACTCGCAACCAAAAGTTTTATAGGGTCACGTATTTTAGAACTTAAGTACACTTCGAGATAGCATGGTTTCTAACAATATCTAACGATGTCCCTAAAACGATTTTATCACGACTTTTGGAAAAACCGCCAAAATATGTAATTATTATTAATAATATTAATACTTTTATTGTCGTGGCTCGTGACAATAAAATATACATGAACTGTTATCTTCGTCTCCGTTTATCAGTCATATGGTGGAATTAGGTTAGATTAGTAGAATTATAATGGTGATTGTAATGTGGTATGCGTATTTTTAATAACACGTTTCAACAATTTATTTTAAAAGTATAGTTAAGACAGTACCTTTTATATCATACCAGAAAATACATGAATATAGATAATTATCTCAAATAATACATTTTATGTTCAGGATAAAGTTGATTTTAAATATTTTTGCATCTCGTATCTCGTAGTATTTTTTAATGGTATCTAGTGTCTGGGATCTTATTCATTTTTCACATAAATTTATTTCACACAAATTAAGATATATTTTATTTTAGAAATTGATGTGTCAAATTCGTTTTTCAAGTATCTTCACTGATTATGATATACTGGACTACAAACACGATAAATAGGTCAATCGAACGATTCCGAGTGATTTTACCGAATTTTATCGTTATGATTTCTTTCTTTGGACACCGGTGCCTAATAATTTATTTCTAGAACGGAAATCGCGTTTCGCAACCTATAGGTACACCGTTTATATGTCTTCGATGAACACTGCACATGCAGAATGAATTCTCGGTTAAACACACTAAACAGCAAACAACGCAAACACCGACAATATATTATTATTGTTATTGTTATACGATATACATTATACATATATACAGTGCAGCGTCTGCCTCGAAAGTCAGTCAACCGTGGCCGATCGGTTGCATAAACATCATCAATCTTGCAGAGAGAGTAAATTTACCACAAGCAGCACCCTACACACACACACACGCACACACGTACAGAATGTCGTCATACATCCGATGTGGCATCGTGTGGTATCATCCGTTTATATAGATGAGTGAGACATCGAAATGTGTGTATTGTGATTTCGTGAAAGTCATATTATACGCGTATTCGAACTCTGTGCGGCTTTGTCGGCTCTTCAGTTGACCTATCTGCGACGGTCAGAGCGGCTGCCGAGGGAATGAGCGTGAGTGTCGATTCGACATGTTTAATTTCCAACTCATTGCCCGGCCCAAATTTTCAAACTCATGAAACACTTCCAACAGCAAAATAATATATTGGACAGTGAGTCTAACAAAACGTTTTATTTTATGAGGCATAAAATACTAAAATAGGCTGAGAATGAGTACGCTGCAAGACTGTTTATCAAATTTATCAAATTCTTAGATTATTTGTACCGTTTAAGGAGTGTGGCGATATCAATTTTTTTTTCCAGACCGTTTTTACTGTACACATTATTAAGCTGATTGTGTACTTGTAAATCTAATAT